CCCGCGCCCGCGGGGCCGGGTGGCCTGCTCCCCCGGGGAGAAAGCACAGGCGAGCGCCCGGGCCTCCGCCACACCGTCCTCGGCTCAAGGCAAACACTTCCCTACCATCGGGGCAGGGACGGGCTGTCTCTGATCCCAGATGTACCATCACACGTGCGCCGCCTCCTCAGGAAGCCCCCGCACTCCAGGAATGACTCCAAGCACTGAGTCACCCACCGCAGCTCCTTCCTGCAAGCTCACACTTACCTCTCGCAAACCACGCGTCCCACACCCACGACACCTCGTGTCGCAAATAGACCCGACCTGTGAACACGTATTCCCACTTCCCCCAGCGTGTGGTCCCCCCGGCTCCCGCTGCTGATTCCACAGGCGGCCATGCCTGTGTCTGCCGTCAGCACCCGCGCCACCCAGACTGCCCGGAGAGCGAGGAGGCACGGCCGGCTCAGCTAGAGCACGTGCGCAGCAGCCTCCAGGTTGCCAGGGAGCCTCCGGGGTGGCGGAGCACCCCCGGGGGTTGGGGGGGGGGGCTGTAGGCACAGGGCCTCTGTGGCAGAAGGAAGGCCAAGCTCAGGGAAATGGCCCCCAACTGGCCTCCGGTGAGCGTGGGCACTGTCACCCATGTGAACACTTGGCCCCAGCTGACCAACAAGTGGAGCGCAGAGGGGGAGCCCCCAGATGCAGGGGGCAGTGTCCTGCCTCCCACACCTCGCTCTCCCTCGGCCCGGGTCAGGGAGAGAGGCTAGCCTCGGCCTCCTCAATGAGTCCCATGGGGAAGGTGTCCACGAGATGTCTGGTCCTCGCAACGCCATTTTCCAGGTCAAACTCGGACCAGGTGAGAAGGGCCTCGGCTCTGGGGCCGCCCACGCCTCCAGGGGGTGGGATCCCACAGGACCTGGGCCAGGCCTTGGTCTCCGCTGCCACATCTGGAGCCAGAATACAAGCCCAGGAAGACACAGAGGCCGGTAGCCAAGGGACATGAGAGGGAGAGAGAGCTGGTGACAGAGGGGAAGGGAGCGGGAGGGGGCGGGGCAGGCAGGTGGGAGGGGGCGGCAGTGCTCACCTGGGTCAGGTGGGGGTTGGGGTTGAACCCGCACTGGTTGCAGACCTTGCTGTGACATTGGGTGCAGGTGTTGAAGTTTGGCTGGCTGGGGGTCGACGTGAGGTCCGAGGTCTTACATATGGGACACAGTGTGCTGCTGGGAAGGGGGGCGATCTGGGGGACGGAGTAAGGTGATGTGGGGGTGCTGCCTCTGTCTGGTGACACGGAGGGGGACCGCCCTGATCTCTGCGTCCTGCTGTCCACCTGCAGCGTCCTGCGGGGGCCCCCAGCCTCCTGGCCGGCCGGGCCCTGGGCCCCTGTCTCCCGGGGGCTCTCATGGCCGGGAGCAGCCCCAGGAGCCTGCTTTGGGGTCGGCGAAGCTGCTCGCTGGCTGCCCAGGGGCTCCTTGGAGTCCAGTCTCCTGGAGACGCTGAAATGACATTGAAAAGGACTACGTTAGGGACACGTCACAGAGAAGCAGCCTGCAGGGCTCTCCCACGCCCACCGCCACCCTCCTCGTCCTGCCCAGCGCATGACCCGCCACCACTGGCGAGCGCTCCACCGGGGGCGCACTCAGGCCTGACCAGCGTCTCCCAGTGAGCCCTCAGCACCAGGCCCTCCGGTCGGACCAAGAGAGTCCCTCACTCCTGGTGAAGCGCAGGTTCTCGCTCAGGAAGTGTGGGCTGGGTCTGCAACCGGTGAGGCCTGTGACAGTCTGCAGACCACACCGAGCACCAGGCTCCAAGCCACACAGGAAGCGCCCAGGGCCGTTCGAAACGGCCTGACAGTTACCTGGAGGGTGTGGACATAGGACGGTGACCTTAGTGCCTGTCCCCCCAGGTGCCTCCAGGCTACAGCTCAAGTCCAGACTGCTGCTTGGGCAGGTCCGTGACATTCACGGGGCCTCTTCAGAGGCTGAGCTGACAGCTGGGGGCGGGGCACCCACTACCTGCTGAATGCCATCACCGCGGAGAAGGGCCTTCCTGGCAGCGGCCCCGCAGGCCTGGAGCCAGACCAAGCCCATCAAGATGGGGGACACGTTACTGTTCTGCTAGGGCGAGGCCGGGTGGGGCTGGAGCTCTAGCATCAGCCCCAGAGGAGCCCCAGAGGAAGTCCGCTGGGCCGACCCCACCCCGAGCCGGCAATGAGGTGACGCAATGGGGCAGAAGCCAACCGTCAGCTACACCCAGCTCCCTTCCCTGCCTTCTCCGTCGACCCAACTTAGGTTGTTTCTGCCAGTTTGTCTTTTCCGATTTGACAGAAGCTCAGCACAAGGAGCCAAAGGCCATGCTCTCTCCGCCCCCGGAGCCCACGCTGGCTCCAGCCTGTGCTCACCTGGGGGCGCCTGGCACCCGGAGGCAGGGCAGCCCGGCCAAGAGCCAGGGCAGAGGCCGGGCCACCGCTGCCCACGGAGCGGCCTGGCCTGCCCTTCTGCCCCAGAGCCCAGCCCTGCAGGGCCTGCTGACAGGAAGAGAGAGACTCTATGTTTGCTGCCTCTGTATGAAGGCCATCACTTGCCAACGAGACCCAGGAGCCAACTGGTAGGCATCTCAGGACAAGCCACTCGGAGGGGAGAGGCCGGGAGCTCCCGGAGGCCCACGCCAGACACTGCAGCTCTTCCTCTCTCCTGGGGAACTGCTGGCGACAGACACACCCTCGGTCCCAAACACTCTTCCCCCAAAAGGAATTCTGTCACATGCGCATCCAGCGCTTCTTCCATCAGCCAAGAGCAGCACACAGCCCCCCTCAGTCTCAGGCTGCACTCCCCTTCAGTAGGACAGGCAGCCCGGCCCGGCCAGCCCCACTGGGCCATCCCTGCTACCGGCTGTGAGGACCACCAGGCGGCGCTGCGGCACCTCTGGCCCACACGCAGGGCCTGGCCCTCGGGCCTCCAGGCGGGCTAGTTTCTAGGCATCGTTAGGAAATACTCCCACTTGGCTAGACCCACAGTTTCCTTGTTGACGTTGGCTACTTGGGCTGCGATGTCAAAGCAGCCCTTGAAAGCCACCCAGAGGCTGCGAGAGCCCTTGCACCATGTGAAGGACTGCAGCCCCTCCCGGGGTGAGGTCCCTGGTTTCTTCAGAGAAATTTCGCCATTTCTGCTGTATCCGTGTTGCCGGATGTGTGAAAGGTGTTGTTATGACCCTCACCCGGAAGTGAGGGAAGGACCGAGAGGGCGAGCCCAGGAGCCTGGTACCCGGCCTCCCCTGCAGGGAGTCCTCTCTGACCTCTGCCCGCGCCCCGCCTGCCACACAGGACCTCTATGATGACAGAGGCAGCAACGGCGCCAGGCCTGCACCATGCGCCCCGCTGTGTGCCAAGCAGCTGTTTCACATTAACTCCTTCAGTCCAGGGGGCAGGACCACGCTGACCATTTTACAGACAAGGCAACAGCCATACAAAGAAGTTAAGTGACCCTGAAAGCTTTTAGGACTTGCAAGGGGTGAGCTGGGCTCCTGCTCTGGGGACCGCAGGGAGGCTGTGGAGGGTGGGAGCACTGCAGGAGGCCTCGCTGGACACTGTTCTGAAGAGCTGCCCAGTGCACACTCTCCAGGAAGAGCGAGCTCTCTGACACTCGGCTCCTGCTGCAGGCCAGGCCCAGCACCATGCCTGGCGCTGAGTGGGCACGCCGTAAGCAGAGCAAGGTCAACGGAAGACGTGTGAGCAGCGCAGTGAGCTCACGAGTGGGGCAGGCATGGGGTTGAGTTATGACCTCTTCACCTGGAGTTTGCCCAGCAGCACCGATCCTCACTGAGGAAACTGGAGGCGCGCTACTCGCTCGGGCATTCAGTCGTTCGCGAGCACTCCCTGAGCCGGGCTGCTGTCCGGCCCAGCGACAGGGCGGATGGTACGAATGGGTCACGTCTCTCACCGTGGCAGGTGGGTCCTTACAGGTGTTCGCTGTATTGCTACCCTTACCTCTTGCGCACATTTATAAGTATTCTTTTATTCTTGTAAACACCTGCTCAAATGCTGAATTAAAATGAACTTTAAAAGTGAGTCAGACAGGCTCCGGTCCTCTGGGAGCCCCAGCCCAGAGTGGAGACAGATGTGCAAACAAATCACTGCGAGATGGGACTCCTGGGAGGGCCGGAGCCCGAGAAGGCTCTGCAGACAGGCGACAGCTAAGCCAGGCCTTAAGGGTGGGCTGTGCACTCGGGCCCCAGGCAGGGCAGGGCAGGTGGAGGCAGCGCGGTTTCAGCACCTCGGACAGCTCCTGGCACCAGCGAGCACGTAGCCCCTGGACGGAGTTACGGGGGAGCTGGGGGCACAGTGAGGAGCAGGCGGCAGCCCCTGGGTGAGCGGGAGGGCGGGCTCAGCACAGGGCATTCCGGCTGGAGTCCGGGGGAGTGGTCCTTCCGATGCGATGGGGGCCCAAGGGGTGAAGCCCGTTGGCGGGTGGAGAACGGGGAGTGAAATGGCAGGTTTGGGTTTGGTTCTGTTGAGTCAGTGGTGGGGGGCGTTCAAGAGGCATCAGGAAATGGAGCAGAGGCTGGGTCCGATTCAGAAAGATGCAGCTGTTTTAACTGGGCGAGTTAAGAGCTCACAGGATCGAGGACCACAAAGGGCCGATCCAGGAAGGGTCTGTGCGGAGCACGGGCATGTGCGGGAGCAGGAGCAATGCCAGAAACAGAAGCCAGAGGAAGGAGCACGTGCGCGTGCACACACACACACACTCACACGCGCGCGCGCGCACGCATGTGCACACAGAACATTTCCAGGAGCAGGAGCAGTCGGGGCTGTGAGTGCCTGAGGCTGACAAGCCTGAGGAGCAGGGAGGAAAGGCTACGCCATGACAGAAGGGCCCACTGTTCCAGGAGGCCCAGGAGATCTGTCTGGGACACAGCCCCGGACACAAGGCCCCAGGGGCCAGGTGGTTGCAGTGACCCAGGAGGCAAGAGATGTGCCCCCAGGAGACCATCCTCACAAAGGTCTCCACTGGGCGGAGAAGCGGTGGGCGGGGAGGAGAGGGAGGAAAGGAGGTGTCCACAGGCAGGACTCCGCCGGCCCCAGCGAAGACCTGGTTTTCAGGTACGGACCCTCAGCAGGAGGCCCCTTGAGGCCCATGCCCCTCCCTGCAGCCTCGGGTTCCCTACTCCCTGAGGGGCTGGGACAGGACAGTGAGGGGAGAGGGCACTGCCATAGGGCAGAGAAGACACGGGGTGAGCATTGGAGGGCGGAGAAGGAGGGAGAGGGTGGCGATGCAAAGGAGCAGCCGGGAGCCGAGCAGGGGCGGCTCACGTGCCGGGTCCAGGCCCAGATGTTTCCTGAAGATGGACAGGAAGGCAGAGGTGTGAAAACGGCTGGATTTCGACCAGCATTTAAGGCTGCTGACTGGTGAGAAGCAGGTCTTAAGGCTGTTTATGGGCCAGTAGGAGGCCCGCCACGGAGGGTGCTGGGAGGGCGCGCCTGTCCCGCAGCAGCACAAGCCACCAGGACCAACAGCCCGTCTGCGCTGATCAGAAGCCTCAGGGAGGGCACGGCCAACAGCCCCAAAGACGCTCGGGCACCAGGGGCATCCACAGGCCAGGGCCCGGGCGATGCGCCTGCACCCGGTGGGTCGCTGCACAATGGGAGGACGGCTGGGCTGGAGCAACTGGGAGAGCAGAGGAAGCCAGGCTGGTCCACGGGCCCAGTGGGGTGGCTGGAAGATAAACGTTCGCCCACCCAGTGGCCGTCTTTGTTCTCAGGACGGGAGAGGGAGAGAGCTCGGGAAGCTGTTTCCTAAGGCGGAGCAGCCGGAAGCGCCCACAGCTCACACAGGCTTAATGAATGCACGGCTGACCTTTCTGCGATAGGCACTGCTCCTCCGAGACCCACCAAGAGGGACCACGTGGTGCCTGTGCTTCCAGGAGAGGCAGGGGCTGCCAAATGGGGAGCAGGTGGCCGGTGGGTGCTGGAGAAACGCTCTCAGGAATGGATGCGAGAATTCAGAGTCCGAGTTTGGGGGAAAAGTCAGTTTTCACACAAGAAAGCATCTCTTGACTCGCCCAGCTTTCAGGCCAGCAGCCTCCTGCTCTGTGGCCATGGGTCCCTATCCATCAAACATGTCTGCGTATGCTCGGCATGTGCACACTTACCCCTGAGTCTGTGCACGGCCGGTGCTGATGGAACACGCCTCCCAAGAGGGAGGGTGAAAGGGCGAGAGGAGAGAGCTGTGAACTGCATCTCCGCGTTTCCTCCCTGGCCCCGCCGCCTATCTCGGCTTCCTCTCCTCCTCACATGTGCACCCCGGTTTGGGGGCCACTGCAGAGGAAATGCTTACTCCCCGTCTTTAAAGGAGCCGCCATCGGCTGCTCGGACCAGAGTCCCTCCTGCCCTCTTAGAGACACGGAGTCGGTGTCAGGGAGCCCAGGCGAGGGGCTGGCCTCCCCATCTCTCCTGACCACCCAGGAACACGGAGAACGGGCCCTGCTCACAGCCACGCGCAGGGTGAGCTGCTCTGAGATGCAGCG